TCTGCCTTCTGGTACCCTTCCAGCTGGATCTGGTCCTGCTGATATTCTGTGCAAATTATGACTATATGCCAGTAGTCATAACACTTGAAACATCAGATTTTCTGGGTGTGGTGCTGTGTTCCTGTGATCCTAACACTTAGAAACTGAGGCACAAGGACCACAGATTCAAAGCCAGGCTGGGTTACATAAGGGGACACTGGCTCAGAAAACAAACATGAGTGTTTGATTAAAGTGCCAGGTCTTGGGCTCAGTCCCCAGCAGTGAGGAGTAATATCTAACATTCTGTTACTGTTTGCATCATGGCAGAGGACGGCTGAGTTGATGATCCTGGGTGGAGGGTCACTAGTTAGGAAAAGCACCACCTTTGCTTGGGCTCAATGACATGGCTACCCCTTATTTTATCAACAGCATTAAACAATACTGGCCAGTTTTCATTCCAGAAAGACAGAGTGTTATCTAGTTTCAGATTTTTCAGTGCAATCATTAAGATACATCTTTTGCAGTCAATGCCTCTGGTCTTTGTATCAGTGGTGTTGGCTGTGGAGTTTATTAAAGTCCCTGACATGAAGTCGTGGGATTTCTATTGTGAAGAGACACCATGGCCATGGCAGCTGTCATAAAGGAAAGCGTTTAATTGGGGCTGGCCTATGTTTAAAGGTTTATTCCTTTATTGTCATGGGAAGCACGGCAGCGTGCAAGCAGACAATAAGCAATTTAAGCAATCTTAAGAATTCTACATCTGCATTGGCAGGCAGCAGGAAGAGAGAGTGACGCTGGGTCTGGCTTGAGCTTCTGAAACCCCAAAGCCCACTCCCAGTGACATTTCCTCCAATAAATCCACACCTACTCCAACAAGGCCACACCTCCTAATATTGCCGTTCCCTGTGAGCCTATAGGGGCCACTTTCATTCAAACCATCACACATGATATGCAAGAGGCTTGGGGACTGGCTCGAGGAATTCAGGGCGAGTCCAAGGGAGTGTGAGCGCTGGTACTCGGTGATGCTTACAGTGGCAGCTTTGCCTTCAGCTTTCCCTTCTTAACTCTTTTCCTTCCTTGATTCAGAATGAAGCCTGTTTCTTGTTATATGAAAAGCAACTTTATGAAAGTAACATGTATATGCGTAGAAATGTCGATTTGTTTTCTGGCTATTTTGAGTTGGAACTTTTAAAATTATTTTTGAATGCAGGGTTTCACCAAATAGACCCAGATGCCCTCAAACTCAGAGAGATCCGTCTGTCTGTGCCTCCCTAGTGCTGGGATCAGAGGCTGTGCCTGAGTGGAAATCTTAATTTGAAGGTTTTCACCATTTTGGGGGATACTTAGCTTCGCCTGCTTAGATGACCTTTCTGTGATGGGGAGGGCACCCTTCGATACTGCTTGGGGACTCTGCCGTGACTGTGGTTGTTACAGGTAGGAAAGGCAGACTGATCATAGGTGTGTGTACTATGGCAGTTTCTTCTCCAGCAGGAGCGCACACGGCATGAGACCTCAGCACTGGGAAGACTTGGAAGGGGAGTTGATGGCTTCCTGGTCCTGAGCTGACAAGTATAAAGGGTGTACGTTGGCTCTTTGAAGAGGCCTAGAGACTGTCAGACCAAGCTTCCTTTGGGGGACTCAGGTTCGCTTCCTTCTTCTTCCTTTTTTTTTTTTTTTTTTTTTTTTTTTTTTTTTTTTTTTGGTTTTAGAGGCTGTCATGGAACTAGCTCTTGTAGACCAGGCTGGTCTCGAACTCATAGAGATCCACCTGCCTCCGCCTCCCAAGTGCTGGGATCAAAGGCGTGCACCACCACTGCCCGGCCATTGCTTCCTTCTTCCTCTGATGACCCTCAGTGTTACCCTTGCCAACCAGCCATGTTTATCTGCTCATTGCTTCTTTTCTCTCTTTATGACCCTTCATATTAGCCTCTTTGTGAGTGTTCTCCACCTCCCTAAGTCATTCCCATCTTAGCTCATCCTAGAAGCCTTGATAAACCTCCCCTTTCAGTACAGTCACCTGGAGAATGTGTCTCTACTATTGATAGCATACAGAAGTCTCAAAACACAATCATAAAGGCTGAGCATATCACTCAGTGGTAGAACAGCTTACATGTACAAGGCTCTGGGTTCCATCCTCAGTACCTAAGACTGTTTATTAATCTATCATCTGTTTTCTATGTCTGCAAAGGAAGAAAATGAAAATTAAACCACTGTGTTGCCATGGTTGTGAACCCTGACTAACAGTAAGTGTTCCAGGGTTATGCCATTGCCCCTGATTCAGGGATCAGATCTTGCTAAAGCACTAGACCTGCACGCTGCTCCTTGGGTGCTGATTTTTGCCAGTCCTGGGGTTTTTCTTACGGCAGCAGCATGTTTAACGCTGGAAGCCATGCAGCTGTGCTCACCATTGACCTCAGTTGGGATCATGAAATAGAGACTTCTGTGCTGGAGGTATAACTTCCTGGTGCATGTGCCAAGGACCTGGTTTAGTCTTTGGCAACACACACACACACACACACACACACACACACACACACACACACAAAAATATATCTACATATAT